CGGGCCCCCCCGCGCCCCCCCGGCCGCCATCCGGGTCCGATTCCCCCCCGGCCGGGCCCTCGCGCGGCCCCCCCGCCGCTCCCCCGCCGGCCGCGCCCTCACGGCGCCCGCGGCCTGCGCGGCCTGTGCGGCCTGTGCGGCCCGCGCGCCCCGCGCCGCCGCCGGCCGGAGAAACGGCCCCGGGGCCTCGGGGGCCGCCGCTGCCGCCTCCCGCCGCCCCCCCTCGCTGTCCCCCCCGCCGGAACCGGCCCGGGGGGGTTCGGGCCGCCGTGTGCGTCACACGGCGCCGCCGCCCCCCGCCCGGGCCGGGTGCGGGGGGGCCCCGAGGGGCGTGGGGAGATTTTTTTTTCTTTCTCTCTACTCCGTTTCCTTGGAGTTTAAATTTTAATTATTTTTTTCTTTTAGGTTTTTTTTTTGTTTGTTTGTGGATTTTTTTTTAATTTTTTTTTTTTTTTTTTTTATTATTCCAGGAGTTTTTCTTTTCCCGCCCGGGCCCGGTTTTTCCGCCATCCCGCGCTGTTGTTTTTCCCCCGCCGGAGCGGGAAGGGGGAGCACGGACGGGTCCGCGCGGAGCCGCCGCCCCCTCGGTGGATCCGGGATCTTCCCCCCGGGCCTGCCCGGAGCGGAACGGTGATCCCCGGTCCCGCGGGCGCCCGGAGCCCCGGGCCGGTGCCTCCCGGCCCGGTCCGGGAGCCAGAGGCCCATTTCCCCCCCACGACCCCAGCTCCCCGCGGCCCCCCCACGACCCCAGCACTCGGCCGGCTCCCTCCGCCGGGCTCCGGGTCCCGTTCGGAGCCGCCGGCCCGGGATCCCCTTCACCCGCCATGTGGTCGGGTCCCATCCGGGGGCTCCATCGCGGCTCCGGGGGTCGCTCCGGGACGGCCGCCCCGGTCCCGCTCCCCCCGGCCGAGTTCGGAGCCGGGACCCCCGGCCCGGCTCCCCCCCCCTCCTCCCCTCCCGCGCAGGGCTGAGCTGGCTCCGGAGCCGCGTCCCTGCCTCAGGGACGGGCTCGCCTCGGAGCCACGTCCCAACCCCGGCAGCCGCGTCCTCAGCTGGGGGACCGGGGTCCCCGGGCGGGCGCGGGGCCGAGCCGCAGCTCGGGGAAGTTTCCCTGCGGAAGAGCCTTCGCGGGAGCCCGGCCCGGGCCTGCCGCACCCCCGGCGGGTGGGCTCGGGGCCCGCTCTGCCCTCCCCCCCCCCCGATGCCGGGGCTCCGATCCCGGCTCTGCTCCCCGAACCGGGGGGATGTCGGGCTGAGCTCGTGGAGGCCGCGGCACAACCCTCCGGTGCCAGCGAGGCAGCGCAGCCGGGCCCTGCCCCGGCCGTGGTTAAACTTTGATGGGGCAGAAGCGGTGGCCGAAGTGGGTGTTTATTTACCGGATTCCCATGAAACGCTCGGCTGGGGCCGGCCGGGCTGTTTTGCAACCACTGCCCGACTCAGGTGGTTTGAAACCTGATCGTGCGCTCATGTGGCCTTATCTGGGTCTGAGGGAATCGCCTCGGAACCTGCTCCGAGAGGCCCCGCGCAGGCTCAGGGCTCGGGGAAGTGGATAGGGTTTATTTTCTCCGTAATCCCGGTTTCCCAGCGGGCCAAACCACCGGGACTGGGGCACCCGCTCCCATCGCGCAGCTGCAGGAAAACTTGGGCAGTGGAAAGTGTGGAGCTGACAGAGAGCAGCGGCTTCCCCAGACCTATAGGGACCACGATTAGTCCTCAGTGCCTTCTCGGGATCCTTGGTTGTGTCCGGCAGCCCTTCGTGTCCCCTGTGCTACTGGGGGTCACCCTAAAGCATTCAGTTGTCCCTCAGGGAAGCCCCTGCAAAGAACTGGGCTGGGAGGAGGCAGGGGCTGAGTGGGACCCCCGTAGCCCCAAGAGTTGCTGGATCCAGGTTGGGATGGGGCAGTTCAGCCCAGGAAATTCAGAGGAGGAGCCAGACCAGCCGTGGATCAGCCCAACACTTGCAAGGGGAGAAGCGGCACAGGGAGGCTGGAATCCTGCCTGGGTGGGCCAGGGGGGATTGGCACAGCCCCTCAAGTCACTCACCCAGCCCCTCTCCCCCCAGCCGAGGCCCGAGCGCTGCCGCAGCCTGAGCCGACCCCGCACTGCCCACCATGGACACCGGAGTCATCGAAGGGGGTCTCAATGTCACACTCACCATCCGGCTACTCATGCACGGAAAGGTTCGTGTCCCCAGCCCGCCGTGCGGAGCCCTGGCCTGACACAGGGTGGGCTGCGTGTTTCCCTGGCCGTGGGATCTCCTGGCGCTGCCGTGGAGTTGGGAACGTGCTGCTGGTGCCCAGGCAGATCCTGGGGTGCAGCCAGCGAAGAAAATAATTATGGGGTGGCAGGGGAATGACCTGATGGGAGCCAAGGTGGGAGCAAGATCAGCACAACTGGGATAAACCTCAGTAATCTGAGGGGCAGGTTTCAAGTGCTCAGGAGCTTGTTTTGACTGTGAAAACAGCTGAGTTTTTAGGCTTGGGGCTCCAGGAGTTTTTAAAATGCTGACTAATGGTGCTTTTGTTTCCATCCCAGGAGGTAGGAAGCATCATTGGGAAGGTAAGTGAGGAACAAACTCGCCTAGCCCTCCCTTTCCCCTTCTCCCCTCATCCCCCCCCACCCGTCCCTCCCCACAGCCGCGCTGACGCCTCTCTCCCTTCTCTCGTCCCTCACAGAAAGGGGAGTCCGTGAAGAAGATGCGTGAGGAGGTGAGCGCTGGGGCTGCGGGAGCAGGGGGATGGCGGCCCGGCCAGGGCTCCGCAGGCAGCGCGGCGGCGGCGCGGGGAATGCCGGGAGGTGTGGGCAGGCGCGGCAGGAAGCCGAGGAGGAGAAGATGGCTGCCCGAGCCGAGGGAGGGGAGGAGGAGGAGGAGGAGGAGGGAGGGCTCTTCCCCCAGCGGCGGCAGCGGGGGATCCAGAGGAATCCCGAGGAGCTCCGGGCGGGCGGCCGGAGCACTGAGGTGGCGTTTGCCTCCCGCAGAGCGGAGCTCGCATCAACATCTCGGAAGGGAACTGCCCCGAGCGGATCATCACCCTCGCGGGACCCACCAACGCCATCTTCAAAGCTTTTGCGATGATCATTGACAAACTGGAAGAGGTGTGTCTGGGCCCCCTGCAGTCACTGCCCCCGTTTATCCCCTCTCTCCGGATGAGCTGACCCCGGCACGAGCCCCAGGGCTGTTGTTCTGCACGGGCAGCTGGCGTTTCCCCGCCTGGCCCCCGATCTTTGTCCAGCCCTGTGCTGGGGCAAGGTCCAGGCAGTGCTGGAGCCAGAGCCCCACAGGGATTTCCTGCCCACAGCGTGAGACCGAGCAGGGCTTGGAATTGCCCCAGCTCTGCTCATGCTGGTGCCACTTGCCCCCAGGACTGAGCTCTATGCCCGGCCCTGCCAAGGAGGAGCAGGCACTGCAGCTGTGTGGGGCTGGAGGAGCTGCATTGCATCCCTGGTCCTGTTAAATCGGTGACTTCCAGGGGGGCTTTTACTGCTGGATAACCTGGATCTTGCAGGTGATAGGGCCTGCTCAGGACTGTGATGTCAAGATTTCCATCCTGCTCCAGGTTGGAGGGAGCAGGAGCTGGGAGAGCTCCTTGCCTGGAGTGGGGCAGAGCTCTGTGGCCCTCACCTTGCTTGTGGGGGTACA